TACATAATTCGATCCTAGATCCAACGAATGGATGTACATGTTTTCTAAACAAATAATTAAATCTATCCGGTCAACCCCCGGGCGAATAATTATTACAAACATTCATCCATAAATTCCTCGACATGCCCGAGGCTTTAAAAACAAATTTAAAACCATACATCACATTCAACAACATTCATCAAACACATAATCGGCCATAATAGTGGATTAACTATTTTCCTGCAAAACCGAGTTATGCAAATATAATCCAATATATGGCTGCGTTTGAACACATCTTGTCAAATAAAGCCGTAAAAATTCGAACTTTGTACAAAACGAATTAACCAAGTTCTCTGATACCACTTGTTGGGATCTGTGAGGATCTCGTTATGTACAAATCACGAATTCAATAGCAAACGTAAACCTATGCGCAGCGGATCTAAAGGTTTGACGTAGAGAACTTACGGCTTAAAATTTATGTAGATCTGGTTGACCACGAACGGTTGACCGCAATTGATTGACCGCAACACGCGTCTTGGGTTGCACGAACAAGATCAGATCAAAACTGGATCAAACGGATGCAAACAGATCAAAACGAAATTTTGCTGCCAGACACCTTCCGGCGGCGCGTGAGGGCGCGTGCGGCGTCGGATTCCGGCGACGTCGGCGGCGATGGAAAGCTCTCGTCGAGACGGTCGTCTGGGTATACTGTACGTCTCAATCGGACTTCCGGTTAGTTCTGTAGGTCAAAATCAATTTCGTCTCGGTTTACCTACAGATCTTCTACTGTATTACTCAATACACCCTTCTTCAACTTGTACCAGTGGAGCAACAAGAAGAAGATAAAGCTCGAATGAGATCTAGAGAGAGAGATGGTTTCACGTGAGAATGAGACTTCTATTCTCTTCTCATGAGCTTAATGATGTATATATAGAGCTACAGTAGGGACCCTAAGGAGATTAGGAAAAGGGCTCCTTAATTAATTAGACTAACTGTGGGCCAAACCCACTCCTCTAATTAATTAAATAATATTAATGGGCCACCAACATTATATTATTGCACTCCCTTTCCCTAGCCCAAATTACATTTGAGACTCCAATAATAATTACTCGATTTACCTCCCCACGTTTAAGATATAATGTCCATTAATTAATTCGATTACTGACAATCAAGAATTAATTAATTTATTATTATTTCACCGAAGCTAGCGCTCGTTCATCACATTCTTATTATGCCGGAATTTAATCCACCTGCAGGGTTTAGCATAACAATCCTTCATGAACTCACTCCGGGGACATCATCAAACTAACGCACATGGTGACCGTAAATATCCTAACAGCACATCCTATATATAATAATATTACCCAAAACAGTAGGAATATTAATCCAGCGAACTGAACCTCACCCATGTGAATCAAAGTAATATATATTATATATATCTGCCTGTTTAATATCTTACGGGTTAAGAGAACGCAGTAATTAACCGAGGCCTAGTTCATTTACGACGATCAGTATAAAATGAACTTCTCCTCTCTGGGATCCTGTTCAATACATAAATGTACTAGTGCAACTAATCAGTCAAGACAATCTGTACAGTTGACACTACAACCGTTCGGATGGGATGTTCATGTCCATCTAGGTTGTGAACAACTATTCTTGTTCGCAAGTGACTGATAGAGTGATCTTCGGTTCGCCCGATGACGACCCACCCTATCTAAGTGCAGAACAACAGAACGTAGAACTTGTTTAATCTAACATGATTCTCATTCATAAAGGGTAAATGTGTAATAACATGCAAAGCCAAGCTTTCAGTATATAACACTAACAGGCAGTGCTCGGCCGACGGTGGTTTTACTCCTACTGGCTGGGCACTCGTTGTAAGACCAGAAGGCTGGAGCCGTGGCTTTCGATATATAGTCGGCAGTAGTCTATGCGTAGATGTGCACATGAGTCTTGATTTATGACTTATGATGGGAGATTGGGATAATAAATTGATTCTTATACATGCTGCGATCATATTGTTTTTATAATTTGAATATTGTTTATTGCATAGTGGTGAGCACTACGATTTCCATTTGTGCTCACTCCCACCTGAAATTAACGTTTCAGGTTAATCAAGGCAGACACGACGGCGTAGGAAAGCGAGTGGTGGTCGGTCTATGAGACCGGTTTATTATTTGTTATGCTTCCGCTATTTGAACTACTTTATGTCATGAATTTTATGAACTTGGGTTATTATTGAATTTTGTATTTGAAATTTTATGAATTTATGGATATTATGATGATTGAAATAAGGTTGGGGAGATTCTCCTTTGACAGTAATGATTTTATAGAAATCCTGTTTGGGTAATTGATGAATTTATGAGATCCCGTTTTGGGTGTTGGATGATTCATAATTTATGAGTTGATATTATGTCATGAAAATGATTGAAAATAAATGAGTAACGCCACTATTGTTTAAAATGATTTTTTAAAATTTAAATCTGATTTTTCTGAAAGTCCAAAATTTCTTTAAAATCAAAGTGGGGCGTTACAGCGGATGTAGCCAAGTGGATCAAGGCAGTGGATTGTGAATCCACCATGCGCGCTCGATTTGCACCAGCATTGGACAAGACGAGACTTTCATAACTTTAGGGAAAGCAAAAAGCAAGTCTTTGTTAGCAAGTAGTTAGTTTTTATGCTAGTATCTCTATGACAATTCTAGGGCTCATAGGAGGTAGGACAGAGAATAGAATTTCTTAGGTCAATTACATCGAGCCTGACGGGCGTCAGGGTGAGCTTTAGCACGGTTTACTGTCCCTTGCATCGGTAGACATGGCCCGGATCGGATTTCTCGTATGAGGGAAGTAGGCATTAGGCCGTTCAACCTTGGATAGGAAGGTTCGAAAGAAGTTTTTATGGGATCCTTATCCACCAAAATTTTTACTTCTAGTTCCGGCGAACGAATAATCATTGAGTCCTACTCTTTCCGGACAACACATACAAAGAGACTTGTGGCAATAATGAATATCTAACTCGCTTGAAAAATAGGAAGTGAGGGTCAACGAAGTTGATCTCAATGTAATCTTCCCTCTCCAGCATCTCTCCGTCTGAGTCCAAATAAATATGTTTTCGAACCTTCTCTTTAAAATTCAAAGTGGATGTTCCTGCGCGGGACAATGTGGAACTTGAGGAAGAACTCTCTCTTTTCGATTTTCCGCACTACGGTCCAAATCCGATCTGTAGAATGAGTTTATCGAAAAATCCCGGGGGCGTGATTCGAGGTTCGGAAGGTGTGTAGGAGATAGAGTAAGTCAAAAACTAGTTAAAGAAAAAACTGGGTTTCATCCAATTCTCACCTCTGAAAAGCATTACACCAGGGTAGGAAGTCTGTGCGAGTGGGTCTAAGCCACTCGCCTTTTTCTCTCCCAATGTTAATCCGACGCAACTTACCGATGAAGGGTATTGAGCTAAGAATGCTTATACAGGGCACCTATAGGGCTTATAGAGAATGAGAGGGGCTCACTTTACAGAGTGCCGAGCATTGTTCGTCGTGCTAGTTCCAACGCAGACATGTCATGCCCTGGTAAGGTTCTTTGCTCTGCATCGAATTAAGCCACATGCTCCACCTCTTGTGCGGGCCCCCGTCAATTCCTTTGAGTTTCATTCTTGCGAACGTACTCCTCAGGCGAAGCCAGCTTGAGAGGATCGCCAAATCACTAACCAAGTTATGCGGCTTTCAAACTAGCCTCAGAAGTCCATTTGTTAAATGCCATTTTGGTCTTACGCTCCATAATCTATTTGCGGAGATAAATACCCTCTTTAGCTTCTATTCTAACCGATTGAATATCTTTTCTAAGGAATTGGAGGAATATGCGACGATTTTTTCCAGGGAATCCCCAACGAAAAATACACACTTTTCCTTCCCTTCTATCGAATCGATCATAACCACTACCTACATTCCAGGCAGGGGCGTATCTAGAAAAATTATTGAGTGTGGGCCAAAATCTATTTAAGGATATAACAAGATTTGAAATGAAAATGTTATTTTGACAATTTTTTACCTTTTCATTTGTGGAATATATTCAATTCGAACAATATATATTAATTTCCAAAAATGTAATTGTTCTCCAAAATGTTTTATCATCAATATGTATAAGACTTAAAATATTATTGAATTATTGACGTGTATTCAATTCTTACGTAAATCTTGATAACTAATTCCAATTGGCAATTTAGATAGATTGAATTAATATATTTAGAAAAGAAAGTTATAATTTTGTTCCTAGATATGAACAATAACTATTAACTAATAGAAACATGGCATCTATTTTTAAAATGAATGATAAAAAATAAAATAGATAATATTGTTAAGTTCACAAATTATATAAAACAATAAAATTACATAAGAAAGCAAATAATAAAAAAATAGGGGAAAATAAGAAAGAAAATGTTGAGAGTAAGTACTGGGAAAGTAAATAATAATTGTGAACGAATTGTTTTTGTTAACTTTATTTCTTCTCAAGTCCACTAAATAACAGATCCAATTATATTTGTTTGAAAAATTGTATAGCAGTTTACGTATCCAAACACTTTCAAGCTTCTTAAACATATTGTTTATCCAAACATTTCAGTGTGGGCCTAGGCCCACACTGATCCCCATATGCATCCGCCCCTGATTCCAGGAAATTGTGCACCACAAATAGGAACTAATAAAGAGACCTGCACGCGCAATGGCTTTCTCTGATTCTGATAGGGGCGAAAGCTGCTCTCCTTTCCTTCACTTCGCTTTGCTTCATTCGTTGGGGCGGTCCCTTACGTGATAGAGCTCTAAAGCCAAGTGCTTTCTTCAGTTACTGCCCAACGACTTCGTTTTTGCCCGAGTCCAGTGGTAATGAGGAAAGTGGTTGTAGCTCGCCAGTCACCCTAGCTTAAAGTTTCAATGCTAAAGCTGATAGAGATCTTTCTGAAGAAAGATAGAGCTTGAAAGGCAGTCAAAATGCAAGTACAATAAAAATTCAGCCATCCAGAAAAATTTTCATCTATTTTGTATCATTTTGGTGGCATGGCCGAAGGTTGAAAGCTGATCTGTACTGATAAAAGAGTTCATAAGATAAGTGAAGGAAGAAAGCTAGGCTGTGAGCTTTGTCTATGGAGCAAGCACTGTTAATGGCACGAAAGAGCGAAGAAAGGCTGTCTGTTGCCACCTTCCCGGAGTTGATTCTCCGGGGAACTCTATTTAAATTATTCCGGGTATTCCAAAGACCCACACCCAAATTCCATAGCTTTTGGTCCGCTATCCCGATCATGATTTTCCTACCCACAGAGGCTCTGTCAAGACCTTTTTGGCCGGTTATGGGCGAGGTGTCGCTGGTTCGGTCTAAATCAATGAATCGAAACGAATAGTTGGTGGCAACCGAAATTCCTGGGGAGTTATGCATTTGTGTATTGATAAGACCATTCACTATTTCTTGAAGCTCTATCTCTCCCCCGGATAAACCATATAGCCAAGAGAAATAGAAACCGAGCGTTTCGTGGTTCAAAAATGTCGAATCTCGTCTGAATCATCATTTGTCAGGACTCTTCGGCGTAAGTTCCTTGGCTTGGGCTCTTCCTTTTGCTTTGGCTCTCTTTTCTCCTTGGGAATTTCTTTTCTCTCTTTTTACGCAGGAAAACATTCTTTGGATTTGCCGAAGATCTTTGGAGTTCATTTATTCCTCTCTGGGGTGGCTTGCTTTGGTTTTAATCCTCTTTTTCTACTATTAGAACAGTCTAAATAATCCTTCTTTTTTGTTTGATATCTTATTTTCTTCTTTTATCCGAGCTACCCTACGAATCTCATTGAAATTCTACTTTTTAGTACATCAGCTTTAACGGATAGAACAGATGGTCCAACTACATAACTTTTTCTTTCTCAGAACTCGGGTTTATTATTTTTGAAGTAAGTACGTAATTCACCAAGAAATTTCCTTATCTGTCCAATTTCTAACGAATCATGTCTGTAATGCATTATATGTTCCATAATAGGTCCCATTCTTCGACCCTTTTCCGGAAGTCGCCACTAGGAAATTGCATCCGCCACCTAGGAGCCACACAGTATCGTCATCTCTGACTTGACCGGTGTCGAACAAATCTAAATTTGAGACCTTTGATTAACTAACGGAACATTTCTTTTTTTGGTTGGCCTCCTCCTTTCTTTAATCTACAGGAGGTCAAATTCGAATTACTGTGCAAGTCGAAATTTCTTTCGAATATATGAATTGTGCTACATATTCAAAACCTATTTTCATCTTAATTTGAATTAAAAAAATCCAATCGATTTAAAACTTCTTTTTTGCTAAATCAATTGAGACTCTGGTAAGGCCGGCGGCTAATGCCTAGGGGTAAGAGTGACATGTAGAAGTAGAAGCCTAGCCCACACCGTCGCCCAAAAGAAGAGGTGTGGTGTAGTTAGCTAGGCTGAATATGAACTACATGTTGCTCTTACCCCCCAAGAAGTAAGGAAGGCAGTGAAGGCATGCTCGGGGAGTATGCCGAACGAGCGGAAGTGAGCAGACTTGCCGAGCTGCAAATGAGTGGAGGAAGGGGGGGTCTGTTTGAAAGTGAAATAGAGACTTTCACTAAAGAGTTAGATTTAGGTATCTCTGGGGAAGTGCATGGATAACCCGTATATTCCAGAGAAATACTATTATTTTGAGGTGGTCGCTGTGGTGTGGCTGAATGTAATTGGTAATCCTAAGCGAATGGGGCATTTTTTGTTTTACCGCGTCAGATGTTATTCAAGACACAAAGACTTATGGTTAGATTACATTAGCAGCTTCAACTAGAGAATCATGGTCAGATTACATCCGAACTGCTAAAGAGAAGTAGGTTATCCGCAAACAACAAATACGCGGCTTGCTCGGCTCCCATGTTGAGGCAGGAGTTTGATTGTTGTGTTGGATTCCATGCCGTTGGCACGTTCGGCCACGCCCCACATACATCAGTTTCCACCTCCCGCTATCAACAGCTCGTTGGATATCATGGGCTAAGCGTTCGATACAAAGTACAAATAAGTATGGAGAAATAGGGTCCCTTGGCGAACCTCGCGTGTGGGCCGAAATTCTTCTGTCAGAGTTTCAACTGCAAAAAGTGGGAGAGAAGGAATGTCATAATGGGGTTTTGAATAAGACGACCTTTTGGTTTTTCATTTTGTTCATTGAAGAAGTCTCAAGAATGAGAGGTGTTAAGCTTTGTATCATCCTGGCGTCGAGCTATTTTTCCGCTCTTTAAAGCTTGACTTAGAGCACAGATGTGATGACTGCTCTCTCTTTCCGGTTTAGCCGCCTACCATGGGAATGGACGAGACAAAGCCTTCTTCAACATAGGATGATGCTGGAACTGTTCTCAAGGTCTCTCCCGACTCGAGGGTGAGAACGAGAATCGAATCGATACAGATGCTACAGCCGCTATAACTTTTGCTGGATGGGAATTACGGAGTTCGCCTCTCGACATCTTGTTTGGTAAACGGAATTTTGACCCAGGCGCCGCCCAAACATATTTCCTTGTGAAATAGATGCCCCTTTGCAACTGATACAAGGGAGTCGGCCGATTAGCGAGGATTTCATGGATTCGGCGCCTTGCAGCATCGGTGGTGTTCTGGAAAAAGCCTCCTTTTCTGATAGAGGGGAGTGATAATTCCTTCATGAAGGATGGAATTCTCGTCCTGTCGGGGTTCCTCTGGTAGTTCATTCGCCTCTTTTCTCTGTATGAGAAACTAGAAGCTCTTTCATCGTGGGATCTTTTTTATCCTATGGAATAAGAAAAATAGGTCACTCAAAGCACTCATCTCCATCTTCTCTTCCCTTTGAGAAATAGTAGTCGGCTTGCCCTTGCCTTGTTCTCGTCCACCTAGGCGAAAGATAGGGCAGGCGCTAGACTAGAGCGCTGGAAAGAGAGGACTTTCCGAACAAGCTATTTAAAATCAAAGAAGTTGGTGGAAAAAATAATACTCCTTACCTTCTAAATTAGAAAATTAGACTAAAAATAAAATCGAACTTGCTTTTTTGTCAACAAAAAGAATACTTTCTTTTTCTTTTTATTCCCAAAGAAGAAAACGTCTTATTCTAGATATTTTAAGGTTAGACTGAATTCTATTTCCTTTTGAGTTGCTCAATCGGAAATAGAATTCTAGAATTGGATTTTCTAACCGGCACGGGTTCAATCCCCGTCGTTCATCCATCAATAAATGGACCATTTGTTTCGGAGACACAAGACAAACCTAAAAACCATTTTTTTTAAAAGTAATCTCGAGGCTTTGAATTCAAACACCCATTTTTCACATATTATAAATAAAATGGAAAAAAATTTCGAAAAAGCCGAAAGGAATGATAATCTTTCTTAAAGAAAAGAGAGAGGAGAGTTCCCTAGTTGGATGGAATGATAAAGCTAAGGAAGTTCTCGATCTGACTGAAAAAGAAAAGAAAAGCTTGATATAATTGACCTCTGCCTACCAAAAAGGCCTCCCAAATCTTGACTGAACTTCGCTTCGCCAATACTTCTGACTTCACTGCGCTTCGCTTTGTTCATTGGGTCCAACCCGATACGATATCCGTCTTGAACTAGAAAGAAGTATGAATAGCCCAATCCATTACAGCCCGCCAGTCTAACAGGCGTAGATCACCAGAAGAGGCTTTCCGCCAGGCCCCGCCAGGAGTGGGGCTCTTGAAGCGTACTAATCCCATACGAGAAAGAGCGAAACTCTAGTATGAACTGAGCCATAGCCTACGCGCTTCTCTCAATTACATCGACTCTAATCCCCTTGTTCTTAGATCTCTTTGTCAATTATGGTCAGATTACATTAGCAGCAAGAGAGTGAAGGAAGGGGGAAGACAATATTTGCTACATTAATTCCTTCCCCCTTTGCCAGGTTCAGAACTATTCCTTTCTAATTTTCAAGAAGATCTTTAAGGGCGCGGTTGAACTGTCTGTAGGACTCTAAGCCTGTTGGCGAAGATCTATCTTCTTGTGAGCTTTATTCGGTATTCGTCCAAGCAAGCAATATTCAATACTGCGACAGCTAACAAGGGGCATTCCTAGATCCTATAGCTAGTTTATCTGGAACGAAAGGGGTTGAACCTCAATGTCCAGAATCGGGATCCTCAAAGTGCATTTAATGGGTTTTCTCAGCTTTAAAGCTGTTATTGGGTCGAAAAAAGGAATATTTTGCTCGGGGCCAACCAAAAGGAAAGTCGGTTTCCTTTCCAGAAACTGTTCTGCCTCCATTATGTTGTTGCTAGCAAATACCACCATTTTTTGTTTTGGATCTACCAAATCATTCCCGCAGGGGCAGATCGGAAACTTTACTCGCAAGAGAAAGGCCTTAGCTACGACAATTCCAAATAGTATACTTGATTTTAAGCTTTTTCCGAATGTGACTCGATTCAATTGACGACCATACAAACTTTTCGAAGCGTAGTTCAGCCAAAGAGTTCTAGTCTAGGATGAAGGCACTTAGTTTGAGTTGAGCTAGCCGTAGCCACCTAGTGCTTTAGGAAGTGTAACGAAGTCTTCTAGATCGGAAGGATGGTTCAAGAATGGGACTAGGACTCTTTCCTTCAACATTGCGCAAAGGCTTGTAATTGAGACTTTTCAATACAACTTTGACTTTCATCCTCCATCCTCGCTTATTTTTTCTTCATTTTCGATCCAAAGTTCTGCGACATCTCTGCGTACGTCGCCCCATTCCAACTCGATCTTATTCAGTTGGAGATTTCATCATCCTTGAAGTGCTCCAGCGGTCACGGATAACGCTTGCATCCTCTGTCTTACCGCGGCTACTGGCACAGTGTTAGCCGATGCCGTCCCCTGGCCTACCTTAATCCCGAGGGAGAAAAACTATCCCAAAGAATATGACTCGACTCAATTACATAGACCCTAACGTGCGCCATCCCGTGCCAATGAGAACTTTCGAACCTCTTTTGAATGATCTAACTGTATAATCAATTTGCAAGCCAAGCTGTGTTAGCACAACACCGAGGTTATATGTCTCCCTAGGGAGATACTTCAACTAAGTATTTGTATTTGAAGGTTCATTATTTGAAAGGAGAGGGGCGAAGAGGTAGTTGGAGCTTGTTAGCTTCTTTTCTTCTTGTTTTCCTTCTTCTTTTCCTTGCTTGCACGGATTTAACCTCATTACCGGGAACACCTAGCCAACCAGCCAATGTGTCCGAAAGCAGTAAGAATACTAGTTGTGTTTATATATGCCAGTATCTTTCCGTTAAATACATATATTCCAGTTCTTAATGATATGATTATAAATGTTGTTAGATTTTGGGTTTCTACGGAGTACCATGGTTATATAATCACGTCCCATTATTTATGATGTTTCAGGTAATGGAGTCGAGCGTACAGGCTGAGCAAAAGTGTTGGTGATAGAGCCCAGATGGCTAATAAAGGACATTTTTATGTTTTGTAATAAATAATGATACAGAAGAACCATGTTTAAGTTTCTGCTATCTTTAAAATTTATATTTTCGAATAATGCATGATTTCAGTAAGATCTTATATCAATCAATCTCGTTGTGTGATTTAAATTGAATAATTATTTAAAAATTTGGCAATAAAGTTTTCTTTAATTCCTAAAACCAGTGTCTTAGGCCTAGTTAAAAGAAAAAGATTTTCAGAAAGAGAAAAAGGGAACATCCCGAGGTAATTTAAGTATGGTTCGAAATCATTCTAGTTAGTTTTTGAAAAGCGAAAAATTTACTCTGATTTCAAGAATTATAAAAGCGGGCTGTTACACTGATGCCTCATCCTACGGGCTTAAGGAGTTCATCGGTGGTCCCTGTGGATGTCGTGGGCTCGAGCCAAGCGCATAATGCTCGAGTGGTTCAGAATATGGTGGTGCAGGCAACAAGCGCAGCCAGATCCGGTCCAAGTACAACCAACTGCACCATCGAGGGGTGAGGTTGAGCGAGGCCAACGGGTGACACTGTCCAGGAAGGAGATTGACAAGATGATAGCTAACTCGATTGTAGCAGAAGCAGTGCAACAAACCACTCACCACACTTCGCAGGCCGCCATCGCGCCGACCACGGTGGTAGGGATGAACTAGAAGATACATACATGGAGGAGTCAAGCCACGGAGGCCTTGGTGTGAACAGATATTAGGCGATCGAAAGGATCGCGGAGCAGATCTACCAACTACAGGCTAAAGTGGATGGTAGGTCAGCTGGTAGAGCTCGAGGACACCCTTTTTTGGTGAGAGATCCTCGATGCGGTGCTGCAAAATAATTATCGGGATATTAGTTTAAGGTATGATGGTTCGACGGACCCATCAAGGCATGTGCGATCGTATGAGAACATGACAGTTATACACGGTTATTCAGACGCAGTAAGTTGTAGGGTGTTCTTGTCGACCTTCAAGGGGGACGCGCAAGACTGGTTTCACCAACTCCCCCCGAGGTCAATCAGGGATTTCGAAGTCTTGTTGAGCTTATTCTTAAATCAGTATGCTGGTGCAATCGCACAAGAGAAGATGTATTTAACTCTGATGACCATGAGTCAGGAGAAAGGAGAATCATTAAGGAAGTAAGTGGCGAGGTATAACCAGGCTTGTGTGGAATTCCCATCGGCCTCGGGTGAGGTCAAAGCAGGTGGTCTGATAAGGAGTCTGCGGGCTGGTCCTTGTCGAAGCTCTCTACTTACAATGCCAACTCGTATTTATGACGAGGTTTTAAAACGGTGCAAGAACAGTTGACCTACAGCAGTTTGCTAAGCTAGAACAGTTGGCTGAACCTAAGCAAAATAAGGAAGGAGCCCACTCGTCCAGGATATAAACACGTGACATGTCGGAGAGGCAGAAAGTTGAATCGGTGGAAAGATCCACCAATCTAAAATGTTTAAAGGTATGTCAAGTACACGCCACTGAAGATCGATGGAAAGATTTCGCGCACTATACCTTAGCGTCCCAGCAGTGCCTCGCTCGATCTATCCCGATGACAACAACACAACGCGCACGAAGTCTGGACAGCAGCGCGACCAACACCAAGCGTAAGATTTCTCGGTCAGTAGTGCACCAATCCATGTAGTCTCGGTCACTAGGGCACCAACAAACCCTAGATGAGCCGTCCATGAACCAGATGAGCAATGGCGAGTCCGAACCACCTCCAGCAGCCCGGGTGCAGTTCTTTTTTGAAAATTATACCTCCACCCGATTTGAACTGCAACTCACTGATTTGAACCACCTTGGTGCTTTCGATGACCTGCAGTACGCCGGGAAAGATCCCAATAGAAAACACTCCGACGCTCAAGTCAGTTCATGTTCAGCAATGACATTATCGAGAGAATAGATTCGCGCGTGTATGTGTGTTGTGGGAAAGTAAGAACTTGTGTCTTTTTATAGTCGAGAGTAGTTGTGTCCTAAAGTGACTTCTAGTATAGCAGGAAGTTTCCCTACTCCTGTCTTGTTGGGTTCTGTTAGGAACGACAACGATATGCACGTTTGAATTTGGCAAAATAATGCCTAACGCAGCGGAATCTATAGTTAGGGTTAGGACATTACCGTCTAAATTTTTTTTTTCCGACTCAGAGACGTTTCTGATTTTTGCTATAGGAGATTGTCTGAACCGCAAAGTCCGTTGGGCAGACGAACTAGGCCTTCTTGATCGGAATCGGGCGTCGAGTCATGCACGGTTCACCGGGTCAAGGGCTCGGGCTCGGGCTTAGGCTGGTCGGATTGGGCAGGGCTC